ATAATTAGTACATAATGTGCGTCTTTATTTACAAATCTGCTCTGAATTTCAGAGAAGAAGCTTCAGAAGTAGAATACTTCTGCGTTCAATACCAAGCCAAACTTAAACCAAAAGTTACTTTCTTAAAAGCAGTCGAGAATATTCATCATATTCGGTGATAGAACTCACTTTTTTTCGAACAGAAGACAGAAAGCCTCCTAAAACATCTTTAAAGAAAGATCCCCCAAAAGAAATCCCCAATGTCCAAGGTTTTAGCTGGGAAACAAAAATAAATAGACCGGCAAGATTCCAATTTTAAACCAATTTTCTTACTACCCATTTTTACAGAAAGATCCACAAAAGATACCATAAATCTCTGGCATAAAACAAAGCCCCACGTAAAAGAGAGTACGAAATCTTTTTGCTAAAACAAAACAAAAATTGCTGTGAGATTTTGTTGGTCAATTTTTAGTAAGGTTTTTGTTTTTAGGTTTTTTGTTTCAAGTCTTTTGTTGCGGCTTTTTGTGTTACTTTTTGTTAGGGGCTTTGGCTATTTACAGGGTATCAGGTGGGGGTAATATTTTGAGTAAATGTTTGGAAACTCAGAAATGGAAAGCACTAAAAGGGGTTTAAAGTCAGTCTCAGAGATATATAATTAAAACCTTGCTCAGAAATAACGTTTTTGTATGAGAACTTCTCTGTTTCAGTAGATATTCCACTTGGTACATAAAACTATATAGAACACCATATAAGATTTTTAGAATTTATCTCTTGTGTGTTGATAAAAAGTCCCACAAATGTTTATAAAAATCGGATCATTATATCGCTTAGTTTTCATAAGAATGATTGATCTAAAGTCACATATTTGTAGTAAAAAGTGTTATTTAATATGTTTATCACTTTATCATATGACTTAAATAGAAATTATCCCCCTGGCTAGGGTATCAAAATCATCGACACTTGAAACTAATCTCTTTTTTCACCTTTTTTTTTTGTTGTTGCTTTTGTTTCAGTTTTTGTTGTTGCTTTTGTTTCCCCGTACCAAGCTCACACTTTCATTTTCTGCAACAACAAAACCTAAAACAAAAAACACACAAAAACAATGTTGCTAATAAATTGAGCCGAATGAGTGAAAGAGAGGGCAATCAAATTCTCATGCAATTGAGTCTGCGCTGCCGACGGCTAAACAGCGACGTTGGCTGCGACAGAGAACTGCTGCGCTACTCGTAGGTATATCTATCCGTGTGTGTGTGTGTGGGAGCCAAAGCTGCTGCTGCTACTGTACATAGATGTGTGTTAGTGGGCTTGATTGTTCGTTCGAGCGTGTGTGTGTGTGTATGTGTCTGTGGGGGCGAAGAGCGACACAGAAAAATAATAAAACCAAATAAATTGTAGGCGACGACTTCCGTTCGCTCGTTCGGCGGGGGATAAGAGCGAATAATAATAAGAGCAGTTGCAAAATCAAAGTGTAATAAATAAAACACACTTTGCACCACGCACACAAACACTGATGCATAGGGGCTCACACACAGACACTAAATATGGGCGTGTTTTTGTACAGTTCAATGATTTTGATACAGGGGGAGCGCGACCATCCGCGAGTCTTTTGAAAATACATCTATATCTATATATTGCACTATCCGTCCTTCTGCTGCACTGTCTATAATTATACGCACATTTCTCTTTTTTTCTTCCTCCGCTGTTTCTCTTTTGCCCGCTGCCCTTTGGCATAAAGAAATTTCAGGCAGCAGCAGCACCACCACCGTGTGTGTGTATTGGTATTGTGCTGCGCATTGTTGGAATTTTTTTTGTATGCTTTCCACTGAATTTGTTCGCACGAATATTGGCCGAAAATGCCTTCGATCTTTATAGATTTTCCGATCGCGGCCCGTTGGCTGGTGGGTTATGGGCGATATTGCACTTGAAATGATATTAAATAGGGTTCGAAAGTGCTATTTTAATTTAGAAAAAAAATTCTCGGTGGCGTCTCTCTCTCGTCGTCGTCGTCGTCGTCGGTGGCGACTGGCGGTCTTAGCCCACTAAAGCCCCCTCTATTTAAATAGTTCAACTACTTGAGGTAAATATTACTGATTGTAAATTCTTCTTGAGGATTCATGCCATCTCTCCTCTGAACTTAAAAAAACCACGACATCTCTCTCCTGAACTGCGCTGAAATTATTAAATTTTTATTATTTTCGGTGGAGTATTAAAATACCCCCTTGGCTTGCAATGGGTTAATCGTTCTCCGTCGAGGATTGGAAACCATATTCCTCAATTTTGATATTCCGCTGAATATTACTGGCTAGATAGAACATTTAGCCATGCCCACATTATTATCTCGGATTAATTAACCTATTCTAAACTTGACTGGGTTATTTTAAACACTTGCTTTTATTGCATTTTGCGTAAAAAGAGGTTTTAGCGAAATAAGTCAATCAAAAATAAGTCAATCAAAACAAACGAAAAAGAATATTTGCTCAATTTTGATATTCCATTGAATAATGCTGACAAACTAAATCTTTCAGTAGTGCCCACATAGCTTTATCCCATTGATGAATGAATTTTCTACAAGATTGGATAGTTCTTAATCCTTGCTTTTATTTTATTTATTGTAAAAAAAGGTTTAAACGAAAAATTTCAACAAAAAAGGAGTCGCTATGTTGCGTGTAAGCCGTAGTATATGCCTTTGTATACCCTATTTTGTTAATTTTATATGAAAGTATAAATATTGATATGAAGATAAAACGTAACTAATAAAGACCTTTTCTCAAAACGACATTTTTTAGACATATTCATGTTTATTATAAGTATATTGTATATATATATATATATCTCAATCGTGATACCTATTCTTGGTCCCTGCAAAAAAAAAAATAAGCTTCAAATATCGTTGAAATATGTTTAAAACAGAGACTAAATTGTTTTTGCGTTCCTTGGAGCCTGGGATGACAAACATATTCACAATTCTATTACATTCATTTCCCCCAGGGTATGTGTGCATGGAATGGGACTCATTGTTGTGAACCGGTTATTACAGATTCTACCCAATTCAAATAAATACCAAAATATACGGCCTCACTTTAAAAAAAGTATAGCGTAACAACCGGAAGTTATTGGCGGGAGTTTCGAAACTTAATCTCAGCCACACACTTTAGCTATAAGAGTGTTATCATCTTAAATATACAGTAGTATAACGAAAAACTTATGAAATATACCGATATGCGTCCTATTTTCCAAATATTTACTCTATTTTCCTACTCTTGTAGGTCCATTTTATCCTTCATCTTGACTTAAAAAAAAGAACACGATATCTTTTAAGTAAACTGCGATAAAACTCTTTAAGAAAAAAAAAAAAAAATTAAAGCTTAATTAAAAAAGTCACAATGTTGTTTCGTCAATATTCATTTCCCCAGGTAGTATTGTATTTTTATCCACAAATCGATAACGTAATTTCAAATACCGATTGGGCGCCTACCACTTTTAGGGTTGCCAACTCGTGCAACTACCAAAAAATCGTTAAATTCAAACGAAAACATGTCCCCTCTTTCAATTTACATTAGCAAAAAAGGTGAAATCCACTTAATCTGCCGCACAACAAAAAGTGTCCCCCCAATCGGAAAACAAATTTTTATTGAAAGTAGTGACCCCCATGGGATGTGGGACGAAAAAAAGGGGATTCTGAGGGGGTTGTGTACCAATTTCACTAAGCCGCCTCATCCTAATGCAAAAGCAAGCGACCTAAGTGCATGTTTGCGCCATTATTGATGACCCAAGGACCGGGAGAAGAACATCCCTGCCCCATTCCATACGATGCTCTGGTGTCTGGTAAGCCACAAGAAAAAAGCAGACGGAAAGCAACATGTTTCTGTTGTGGCTGAGGATATGCGTTTCTTGAGGGGTTCGCATTCCCCTTCGTGCGGCGCACAAGGGTGTGAAACTAGCGCAACGAATCGTCGAAGGGTGCCGCCGGGGCACGTGGCTAAAAACACACACACAGACCACCGCATAGCCAGACGCCGCATAGAAAAGAAAATAATAAACATAAAAAAGGGCAAATCCTGGAGGCGCCCATGGGCAACCAGGATCATGGGGGTGTTCTACTTGATGACTTTATGTCCCCAAGGTATGTGCAGCAGCGCAGTGACAGCAGGTCCTGCCCGGTCCTGCCCGGTCCGCCTTGGGCTTTATCAGTGGCTTCTGTGGAATATAAAAAAGTTAAATTTATGTGTGTCAATAGTAAAGATTCAATATGGAAGGAAATTGATGATTAGCTAAAAGTTTTTACGGGTCAAAATAAAGTGTACATAGATAGAAGTATACTTGCAGTGGGTACACCCACTTAGCCACATATCAGAGCGCAAAGATTTGTTGTGGATGGTTAGAAAACATTTCCAGGGGAAAATGTACCAGAACACAATTTTGAAACTTCTTTTAAACCTCTTGTAATCCATCTCTAAGATTGGACAAAGGAGTTGTAATCATTAAAAATAATTTTTTTAGGGAATTTGCAAAAGACTACATTTTTAGGAAAACGCAAGCAATAATTGTTTTTATAAGAACTAGAATAAAGAACTAGCATCCAAGACGTTGCAATCTATGCTTTATTGGCTATTATTGGGCAGGATGACCCAACAGATATAAAAATCTAGTTTTTATTCTCCTAGTTTTTAATGAAGAGAATTAGTATGTGTTCCATATTTAGAGATTCCGTTACGGAATGCTCAATCGACAACAAACTTTCCCATTGAAGATCTTAAGTGGTTCTAAATTAACTTTAGTGCGCTAAATGATGCTTATGTAACAGGATTACAAGGTCCATTAATTGCAAAAAAGGTCTCTGAAATTTATCAGTCCCAGTCCCATCTTTGTATTGATTATAACACTCCAGATAAATTTGCATACATACATATATTCCTAGATTAACTGACTGACAATATATTAGCTCTTACGTAGTGCTAATAGAATTGAAAGATTGAATCAAATGAAAAAGTTGATACAAGAAAGTTATATAAAACATTAAATACAAGTTGAAAAAGAAACATTTAGTCAAGCAACTATGAATAGTATACATTTTATGCATTGGATAATGATACTGATATTTCGAAGTACCGTTCGGCAAATTCTTCATCAGGATAGTTTCGATCATCTCCAAAGTTTGTTACTCATAGCCATAGTCAGCCTCTTTGCCTTTAATCATTTTATCACATCTCCTAGAATCAAAAAATGATAAATTAATATAGGAAGTTCTGTCGATCTCATGTTCTACGATACTCACAAATGTTTCACTTTCGCAATCATTCCCTGTTTATTTCTGTTTGAATCTGTGAGACCCTTAACACATTCCTGTCGCAGCTGTCTATAGAACTGGTAACAGTGTCCCCTAATCTTCAGCTGTAGATCATTGCAAAGCTCCCAAAGTTGGTCCTCCAGATCCAATCTTGCCATGTTATACTTCTGAAATTGTTGGAGATTCTTTAGCTTCTGTTGATTACGATTGGCACCCCATGTCAGTGATTCGTGCAGAAATTTATGAAAAGCCTTGAACTCCACATTGTCGTGGGCATATCCTTGGATATTTTCAAATTCCGCTTTTATCATAATATCGATTTCAAGGGCCTGCTTTTTAGCCTCAGTGGATATAGTCGTTTGGCAGCTCAATGGCTCCAGACGAAGGTCTAAAATAATGAATGAACTGTGGATTAATAGAATTTTCAAATGAGTATTTTTGCACTTGCATAAAATGAACGCCAATAATAACTTCATTCTGCAGCGGAAGGGTTCTTTTATTAAACTAAATTCCCAGGCAGTGGTACATTCAAGGGAAACCCACGACGAAATCGATTCGATTGGGATGGCATACCTAATTACAGAAATTGTTATATCACAGAACTGAGACGATAACAACTTATTTCGTGCAAGATTAAAGATATTTTCATGCCACACACAAATGTACGATTTTGAGACTCCTCTGGACCGGTACAGTAAATCGGATTTCACGAGCTCTCCGCTCAATACAAAACAGAAAAGTGAACCGACGCGTAGCTTAGATCATTGCATTCAGCAAATAGCATTTGTTGGCTTTACGCATAAGAACAAATTATTCCATCATCCATTTATGAGCAGCCAGATCGATTTCTCAGATGGGCTTACTTCGGCGTTTTCAACAATACCTGATACTGCAAGAGTTACGGGTTTTATTATGGCTGCAATCTGGGTCATATCCGAAGATTGTTACAGAATGAACAAATCAATTTTCTGTGAACTCACTCTGTCGCTCTCTCTCTCCCACACTCTTCCTCGTGCAGTGAGTGCCCTCGGGCGGAGGAGAGCGAGATATAACGGCCGGTGTTGGTGTGAGAAGCGTAAACAATTGCATGATCTCTAAGACAGATCAATACCAAAGGGCAGATGGATAGACAGAGAGCATGCGGTTGTCATTGACTCCGATACTAATTGCACGTATTGCGCATATCAAATATATTGTATAGTTTCAAAAAATCATCAGAATTCATATGGTGTATCGGGTGTGAAAGGCCAATGCCTAATTAAAAATCCAGACCATAGTCCTTCTCTTTGCCTCGTGTCATACCGAGACATTTCCTAGAAAATAAATGATAGAGTTATGAATTAGCTTAACGAAAAACTGTCTTACTTCCTCTCACTCTCTCCCTCTCATTTGACACTCACGCTTTCTTAATTACGTTTATGACATCTGCTTTCTTGGTGTTTGTTTTTGTAAGACTCCAAACGCATGCATCACGTAGTTTTCTAAAGGTTTCATGACATTTTCCCATAATTGACTTTTGGAGTTTTTCGCAAATGTGAAATATTTGCTTCTCCAAGTCAAGTCTCTGCACATTCCACCGTTGAAAATCTTGCAGAGTTTGCATCTTCGATTGTTCGGAAATCGGTTTTAGTGCATCCAGAAGCCGGTCACGCCACCCCGTGAACTCAGGATTGTTATTAGCAAACCCTCTGATATTTTCCAGTTCAAGTTTGATAAGCGCATCGGTTTGACATGATCCTAATGGAGGATTTGGGGCTAGCCAAAAGCCTTTTATCGGGGGTCAAATTTGTACTTAGAATCAAAGATCTTTCGATTTTGTTCACTTACATATTAGAAACGTTAACAAGAACTTCATCTTCCGGCGAAGGGGTCTTTACTGAGACTAAGTCTCTAGCCATCAGCAAATTCTAAAGAGAAACTAAGACGAAATCGATTCGAATCGTATAAATACGATCATCTACTGGATCTCCCTACTAGATCCCTCCCAACTTTTTATAAATATGGTAAATAATGTATATACCTTTTCCGCAAAATGTAACAGCTCCGTGGTCACCTTTTCGACTGAGCCGGCCGTACGGTCGTTGGGGTCCATCAGGCGCTTCAGCCAGCGTGGAGTCCAGATCCCTTAGGGTCTGCGCCCTCTCAGCCTCGCTGAGACCCTCCAGGCCACCAAATCCATCAGCGGCTCCTCTATAAGATCCAGCTTCTAGATGTACGTCCACGGGTTCCTGACACGGCACGGACCGCACGAATCGCTCAGCCAGTACTTCTCGTCTGGACTGAGGACTTATACCAGTCCTGTAAACCAAAACCCCGATGTCCCACCATGTGATCAGTAAGACGGATATGAATAGCGTATGGCCGGGGATCTAATCTAGCTCATAGACTTTATTTTGATCGGTCCGTCCGGGCAGGTGCTGTTCATGCCAGCACTACCGCTCTTTAATAGAATCCCATATCCAAATCTCTGTAGAGACTGTGGATAGGTTGTCGAGTTGTGATACGTGTTCGGATAATAGATCGAAATAATTGGGGTCGCTTAGGAAATAGTGTAACTTGGTGGTGATCGGTCGGTTATGAGTCTGTTATCGGGCCGTTATCGGTCGATTATCGGTCGGTTATCGGTTGTGGGCTTGAAGGCCGGCGACGGGCTGGTTGGAGTGATCGTGCGTGGCGATTAGAAGGAAGATCCTTCGTCTTCCCCTCAGGGAAACCCAACTAAGAGATGAGACACTGTTCTCAATTAAACGGCTTTCACAGATACACAGATATCATCGTATTTCTGTGGTTCTGCACGATATTTTTTATCCGTTCGTGATGATTTTCGATAGTTAGGTAGGTAGTATTATGTATTTCTACTCTATCAGATATAGACTCAATAGCTGTAAAACTATGGATGTTATAGCTTTTTAGATAAAGTTAAAATTCTTTTCTTTTACTCTGTTTCTTTTCGGCTTTTTCGAGAGAACCCACCGAAGCAACCTTTTTCCATTTGCCCCCCATGCCTACACACAACCATATATTTTCCACCACATTGTTTTTCCAGTCCTAACCTAAATCTCTGAGCGTATTTGTTGCTCCCGGCACTTCTCTCCTACGGTTCCTTCCTTCTCTCACTCTCTCTCTCCTTTCCTTTTGCTCTTTTCGCCTTTTGCTGTTTTCGTTTACTCACAATAAAATCAAAGATTGCGTCTGGGATTTTGTTTTCGCAAACCTTAAAAGAAAACCAAGTCAAATAAGCATCCAAAACCCTCCGGGGATCTACAAGCCCCGACCCCAGCGATGGGGCATGGGACGGGCATGGGGCACTCCGAGTGGCCGTTCGGGTGTGTGTGCCAAATAATAACTTATTGATTTAGATTGCAACTTTAACCGAAGGTTAAAGGTTGGTGTACAAAAATATATATTAGCAAATATGTAGACAGTGGCTCCTGCAGGAGGACGCGGGAGCGTCTCTTTACTGCGGGCATTTTTTCCAATTAGCAACAAAACAAAGGGAAATCAAATCCCAATCCCAGTCCAAATCCGAGAGAAAAAACCGCACAAATAATTACATTGGCTGCCAAACGCAGCTGGAGGGCACGGAAAAAGCAGCGGACTACAGACTACAGACGACGGAGGCTGCCAGGAAAAACAAATGCGAGGCGAAGAGCAGGCAGGAGCTTCTGGCAGGAGAAACAGTAGCCAACAGCAGAAAGGGAAGCATACTTGCAGGCGCCGAGGCCTTAGATACTCTTACAGACTGATTGTTTCTATGAGAGATGGATATTTTTCGGAGATTTACATACAAAACAAGATGAAACATGGCTGGTTCCTGATATTTTTATGCTTGAAAACAAGTTTTCTAACAAAGAGTGGTTTCTGAAACTATGTTTGCCATGCCAGATGTGTGAGGCCTCAACAGATCCTAACTTTATGTTAGAAAAGAAGGGTCTGTGCCTAGATATCATCGATATCGAGGGATGTATCTGCCTAACACATGTCTAAGTCGTCTGGATTAAGAACACTCTACTTTAGATACATTCTACAGACACAAATAGTCACCCCTTTCTCTTACCATCAAGACCCAGAGTATAAGACCCCATACCCTCTTTGAAGGGCATCCAAAAGATGTGTAACTTCCGGTTAGAGGATTAACTATGTGTGTGCTGTGTTGCTGTATCTGTGGATGTCAAATTGGCACCGGCAAAAGCAAAACCAGACACAGAATCAGCAGCAAAAACAACGCCAAGAAGATAGCCCATGGTTTGGGGGGCATGGGGCGTGTCCGGGAAAATCTGTCTGTAATTGAGCTTGAGAGTCGCAGCTGTTTTGGCGGATTTAACAATGCGTTGATGATGAGCCCCCTTTCCGAATGCCCATACCGTTCTGACTTCGTCCCATTCTGTGCCATTCCGAACCGCTCTGGTCTGTTCTGTTGGGTTCCTCCTCTGCCTCCAACAATGTCAGATTTTCTTAGTGGACTCAGGCGATCCCTTGTGGCACAGTGGAACGATTTTGGGGAAAAAGTGTGACCTAAGAACGACAGAGCTTGAGTTCCTATGGTTTTGATTTGGGGAAATAGGTTTAAATTTTATATAAATATTATATTTATTGTATTTCACAGGCACGCTTTTCTTGAGAGGATTACAAAGAGTCGGAAATTGTTTATATCTATCTTTAGCCGATATAATATCTCATCGATAAGTAATTTCACAGCCTTAATGGCTTCTTTTTGGTATGAAAGATCATTGCTTCGACTCCAAGTGGGTAATTTTAGGATAATGAGGGATCAATATAAGATATAGAAGGGGAAATCTGGTGAGAAAACCTCGCAAATTTAAAGCCTTGAAGCCAGAAGAGCTATGTGGCGCAGTGGCTAAAGGGAATCCCTTCTTAGATCTTCGGCAATTTCTCTCACATTTTAAGCATTTCTAAAACATTTAAACTCCCCCCAATGGCATTTCAACCACTGTTCGGGAGCCTTCCCTCTAGCGCAGAAAACATTTCCCCAGCAATTTGAATTAATAAGTTTATTATTTTCCATTTTTCCCTCTGGTCCTGGGTTCTAGTCCTCGTCCTCGTCGTCGTCCTGCTCTCCTCCTGCAGCGACTTAAGCAGCGGATTTGTATTTTATGTTATTTAATTTGCTCGGGGGGCACTATGGTCGTGGGCGTGGGTGGCTTGACAGAGAGTCAGGTGCAAGTGTTATTGGGGCCAAGGATTTGTCCTGCTCTTAGGTTGCTGGCGGCCTCAGCTGTGGGCCTGCACAGAGCGGCTCAAAGTCTCATTTAGTTTTTCGGGCTTTGGGGCTGCCACTTAAGACACCCCCCCCACCCCCACTCCATGGACACCTCTTCCACCATTAAATTTCAAGATGGGTTTTCTTCTCTCTATTTTTTTTCTGTTTATTTCTGCTGAAATTTCTTAAGCTTAAGTATTTAATATTTAATTGTTGTTTACACATAATTTGTCCGTGTTTTTAATGCGCTTACAATACAATAGTTTTTCTTTTTCTTGTTTAATTTAATTTTCTTGTTTAATTTTCAACATGATTGTGCTCAACGATTCTCTCAGTTTTCTTATGTTTTCCATTTTTCCCCTTAAGGTTGTATATGATTTTTTTGTTTTTAATTTTTGTTGATTCGAAATTAAGTTTTGCAAAATTGAAGTTCGTTGTGTGATTTTTTTTCTTTATGTATTTTAATATTAATAAAAAGTGTGTTTAATTTATAATTTATTGTTTTCTTTTTTATTTTTAAGCATATTTAACAATGCAAAATCAGCACTTATGATTGATATATTCTAAGAAATTAGAAGGGTTTTTTGAATGCAATTTTTTAAATGGAATTTAGGGTTTCAGAGATCTCCAAATCTTTTTAGGACATCAAAACTTTGCAATGGATTCAATTAAGATCTTCTTTAGTGAGTCTAAGATACCAAAAGCCTGGTATAAAGTGTTGGAAGTGAAGTGAATGAAGCATTGTGCTCCAAATAGAGTCAAAGATCTTCTTAGGAAGCGCTTTAGATCTTCAAAATACAGAGTCGATGGAGATCGTCTTTGTGCAGCTTTAGTCTCCTAAGGCTATGAAATAGAGTGAAGATCTTCTAAGTGACTCCTCACTGATCTCATAAATGGAGATGGAATTGAATGGAGAACATTTACCCTGTCAAATCTTTAAACTAAAGTTATTAAAAATCGCAAAAACTATGGAATACAGATAAGATCTATTAAATGAAACATTAGACTTCCCAAACCTGTGGAATATAATCTTCGGAGATCTTTTTAAAGGAGCTTTAGATCCAAAAAGCTAAGAAACAGAGTAAAAATCTTCCAAATGAATCTTTAGACCTCTAGAGATCTTCTAAATACAGACAAGATCTCTTCAATAATACGTTAGACTTCCCATAGCGGTGGAAAATAGTCTGTGGAGATCTTTTCGAAGGCTTTTTAGATCCAAAAATCAGCGAAATAGAGTAAAAATCTTCAAAAAGAATCTTTAGACCACCAGAGATCTCCTAAATAAAGCATTAGGTCAAAAACCAATGGATTAAAGTGGATGCAAATCTTACACATTTCCAAATCTCTGGCATAAAGTGAAGATCTTCCAACCCTTTAGGTTCGCTCTTGAAAATTACATTCCATACTCGACAGGCCGAGATTTTTCGTTTTAATTGAAATTCAATAATGTCTTTTCTTTTCTTTTCTTTTTTCGTTTTTTTTTCTTTTCTTTTTACTACAGCGAAACCTGGTTAAAGCTTTTCATAGAATGATAGAAATAAAGATAGATACAAAGATACATATACAATACTATAATTAATAATATTTTTTCTGATTTTTCCTGGCTCTTGAGAAAAACACAAACCGAAAGCAGGGACAAAGGCACAGGGGAAATTTGATTAAAGGAAAGATATCATTTGTTGTTGGTTTTTTTTTGTGTTTTTTTCTTGATATGCTAGACGTCTAATTGACCTTCGTTTAGACTTATAGATTGAGGGGGGAAATGTGTGTGTGTGTGTGTGTATCTCTGAGATTAGCCTAGGATTCTTGTAGAGCTCTTTCCTACAAAGCATTTTGCATAAAAAGTTATTTTTTATTGTCAAAATTATATGCAGGTTTTGTCGTTTGCTTTTTCCATATAATCGAGTAGGTTTTTCCATCATCAAAATTCAATTTTGAGTTGAGATAGAGTGTCTTTTATGTTTGTGGGCAGGGGGCAGATAGTGGGGGGCGGCATCATATAAATATAGATTCATTTCGATATATACATTTTGAACACGTTAAGCGAAAATGATTTAGATACGAGATAGAGTTCAAGAGAGAGAGAGAGAGAGATAGAGAGCATTCAGGTGGAGGAGCGATAGGTACACACATATGTCAATGGTTTCGATCTTTTAGATTCTATTTGATAGAATATAGAGTATTTTTCGACTACGATTACTTATTCATTAAACATCCATTATTTCATCCATTATTTACATTCATTCGTATTATAATGGGTTTTTCGTGCTGCTGCCTTTTAGTGGGTTTCAGTTTTAGTTTTAGTTTTTGTATAAGCTATTGACTCGATTGTGTTCTTAAACTTAGGCTATGACTAAGCGATACCTGTGTTTTACCAGAAAAATAAAGAATAAGAGTACCATCTGATCATCTGATATAAGTGCTTGAAGAGAGAGGGATGCCATAAGGAGGGAGGTCTGCTTTTTCAAAGATCTTTGCATAGGAATTGTTTTGTTTTTTTAGTTTATGTTAAGAAATGCAAATTTTCAGAGCCCTTGCCATGAGAAAACAAATTTGGTTGTAGGTCTGAATAGGTAGATCTCTTCCTCATGCTTGGATTAACGCAAAATACCCACAAAAATATTTTTTTTTTTAAATAAAAAACTGCAAACTTTCGCCGCTCATAACAGCCAAAGGAATAAGGCCAAGCAAAATAACTTTTTTCCACATATAAATATTTGTCTTCTTAACAAATAAACAATAATTACAAGAACGTATACGAATTTTTCTAAGAATGAAAAATAAAAACCAAAACCACTTTCATGTACTCACTTTTGGACATTTTTTGCATAGACCCTTATTAGATATTACGTTTTTTAATACTGTTTGGAATACTCTCTATCAAATTCCCAAAAATATGTCTTGGAATACGATTTCACGATTGACCATAGGCTTTCAATCGGATTAAGTTCGTTTCTTTGAGATGGATTAGATTTTAGGAATAGATATGATTTCTGGGATATGGATAGAATTACGGAAGTCCTTTACTTGGAGTTAGAGTTCTTAAAATCATAAAAACTGAAGCCAAAATAGTTATAAAGCCAACAAAATCTTGGCCTACTCAAAGCAGTATCCAAAGCAATCCATAAAATCCTGTGGTTATAAACCCTCCAATACCTTCCTTAGGGCATCCCTGCCTACGACTGGCCGCAGTTTTTTCTTCTTTTTTCCATTCAAAAACATTTATTTTTTAAATGCATTCTTCTTCATTTTTCATTCGTTTTTAAATGCATAAAATTCGCATAGAATATTCGAAATATATTTATGTTGATTTATGATGTGCTAAAAATTGCATTTAGTTTTCGAGTTCTTTAGTGTGTATGCATTTTTGTTGTTGTTTTGTTACAGATTTCAATACATCAGCGTCTGGGAGTGGGGCTTAAAACCTAGATTCTTGCGCTGCAAAAACAAATGTATCTCCCGGAAATTGGGTCGACTCGACTCGTTGCGCTGCCAGCATTCGCACATGAGATCGTAAATCTCTCGCGGACAGTTGACGGGCATTGGCAGCAGTTCCTGCAAAAACAGAAAATATACAAAAATCAGTTGGTGTTTGGCAGTCACATTTTTGAAGTCACTTTCTACTCACATGCATTTTGTCATCCTGATAGATGTGCCCAATGTTCTCGATAACATTCTCGTCCGACATTTGCTCGTAGGGCTGTTCCCGCGCGAATGTTAAGATCTCCCAAAGGGCCACAGCAAACGACCAGACATCGGATTTTGTGGTGAATTTACCCTGAAAATGGTTTAATCGGAGGATTAGTATATGGTTTGCGATGGAAAGTGTTAAGTTTTTATCGAGAATGGTGTTGTTTTTAATTCCTTAATCAAAAGGAAATCTTTAATTATTGGAAGAGATAAAGCTATAGTGGAGTGTCTGCGACTCATAGGTGGTCATTGTGGACGTTCTTTAGCTTCTGAATATAGATGTTTTCTAAAATCTAAAGGTTCTATAGGTTTTATATCGATGTACAGTCGCCCTCTCAACGAATATCGTAACGAAAAACCCACCCCTATCTGCTCAGCTGCTCTGGAAGAGAAAAAAGACAGAGACAGCCTCGCCATAGAACGAATTGTGTGTAAAATGTATCCCAGCTCCTTTAAATACTCAAGAAAGGCTACAAAATAAAGATGCTACTCTTGAAAGACAATGAAAATAGGCCACTACTGGGAAATTTTGTTCTTTATTTTATTCATATTCAAATATAATGTTTCTTCATTTTTACTAAATACGTAATGGACACAATCAAAGCAAAATGTAGTCAAATATCATTGTATTTCAAGTTCTCTTTTATACCTAATTTTTCTAATCAATATTCTAGCAATCCACACCACTATTTCTCTAGAAACGATCTCTAAACCCCAAAATTCTCTGCCCCGAAAATGTTATTGTATCCTTTTAAGCAAATTTGACTTTATTCTCGAGTTGTCTACACTATAATCCCCCACCAGCCTGTTACATGTGTGTATGAACCCTAAAACCTGGTAACCGAATACATTCTCCTATGAAAATATAAATCCTCTCATTGCCAAAGGCCTTTTGATTTTGTTTACATGCTTTTTGGCTTAAGGATTATGCGGTTCCTGTGCACAGGGCGCACGGACCTATTCATGTGCACAAATATCCTGTAACGCAACTTTTGCGCTTTTTAATATACACAGAGACCCAACCCGCCCCCGCCCCCGCACATCCCTTCCATGGGGTAGTACCTCGTTTATCCTTACAGCCGCTTGGGGGCACCCCCACACACACACACACACACACATTCGAGCCACACGAGTGTCTGTCTACACATCTATGGATATCGCTCGCCGCTCTCACTGTCATATCATGGGGGATACTGGGGCTATACTGCGTGGCTCCTATATCTAGTATCTCTTAATGGAAACTTTATACATGTCCTGTTCGGTTTGTTTTTGCCCATCCTCCGCCTCTGGCTGGTCCTTTCTCTGCGTTTTTTGTGTAGTTAATTAATTTATTTAGTGCGGTTTTTCGCTGGGGGATTTATAAAATATTTTACTCGGTTTTTCGGTTTCCTTTTCCAGTTTTCCACTTTCCTATTTTTTTTTTTCGTTGTATTCTTAGCCGCAGTTTTTTTTTGTCGGTTTCGGTTTGGTTCGGGTTTTGTTTGTTCATTCGTTTGGGGAATAAAATAAAATTCGGTGTAGAGACCATGGGTGGGGGGGTTTCGAGAGGGGGTTAATGCACTCGGAACATGTGCCGGTTAATTGGGGTAACTGTCAGTCAGTGGGAGATAACTGCCCGAGGCTAAAGATTTTTGATACTAGCTTTTTTTTAAAGGATTTTTTTATTTAGAGGAGTGTTTGGTTCTTTAAAGGGCGTATCCTTTCTTAAATTTAGTACTTACCAATAGCACACTCTCCCAGGACATCCAGCGTATGGGCATTGGCTGTGTCTGCCTGCCAGTGGTGCCCTCCAATTGGCAATAGTCCGACATGTAGGCCGATCGATTTATCACAGTGCCAATAGAGCAGACCTTGACGCTTAGCTCGGGGCCAATAATGCAGCTCCTGCCGGGAAGGATCAAAAGAACAGAGAGGGCACACAGGTTGAGCATCGAGCAGTCGACATTGAAAATTCAATTAAAAATACCAGAAATTAAATAAGCAAACACTTCCGCAGGCCAAAAAGCCAAACAACCCACACAACGCACACATCGCAGAGTGGAGAGCGGAGAATGGAGTCAAGGAGTCAGCAAAACGGATTCAGGATATGCTCCTGAGTTGATTGCTTCGCCAGTGTTGTCGTTGTCGTCGCACATGCATTTCAAATGAGGCAACGGCAACCCCAGGCTGTCGCTCCCCCCTTTCAACGGATTTACGGATCTACTTTCCTCCAAAAAGGGGTTGATAGATGTTGTTTTTCGTTTGTGAAAAGGAATACCCTAAGTGAAAGGGTATACCGAGCTGGTAAGGAAATATGTGGAGATATTTGATCGGAAATCAGGAACATTTGGTTCCTGACAAAGAGTACCAAAATATATGCTGTGAAATCCTTTTATCGATCATTTTGGATTGTAAGAACTTTCAAAAATAACTGAAACTGTAATTTTCCGCCCTACCAACGGTATGTATGAGTATTTCTTGGAAATCCACCCATAATCTTCTCTACAGGGTACCCAAGAATCGTATCCATCCACTGGCTCTTCCTGTTCCGCTTCCGTTTGGCTGCCAAGCAGATTTCACATTACGTTTTGAAAGCTGCCAAGTGGTCAGTGGATGCCCGATGCCTGATGCCCGTTGCACTGCGCAACGCTGCCCCCGAGGGCAACAGAAGCGCCGTTTGCCAGCTTTATATTTTTCCCCCATATTATTGTTTCGCCCACATCCCAGAGAGCACTGAGAACAAGATGGAAAGAGGGGGCAGAACGGAGGGGGGATCAAAAAACGTTCAAGCATCAGTGAAAATGACAATATAAGCGGAACGGGAAGTGCGAGTGGAATGGAACAGCAGTAGCAGAACGAAGGAATGGTGTGGGAAAAGAGAGATGGAATGGAATGGAATGGGAGGGGCACTGGCGAGCACTGAATGGTAGAAGAACTCCGCAGTAAATGAAACCATGAAATGGTAAACACAATCAACATTTGATATTTGATATCACACAAACAAACAAACAAACAACAGCAAAAAAGGGAGTAAAAAAAGGAGTAAGTCACGAGTAAAAAGCAAATACGATGACAGTTTCGTGGCTATGACTGATGACACATACCTTCGAGGACAATTGAGTGCGCCACAGGGGGGGAGGATGCAATAAAAATGAATATCTAAGGGGGGAGAATTTAAAGAATGCTGGAGTTCAGTGAGTATTTAAAAAGAACTCAAATAGAATGAAGGTAAATAAAGGTAAATCCTTGCAATAAAAAGCGGTGACTGTACTTGACATTAAGCGGTGGAATATATCTTAATATTTATCAATCGAATCGAAAAACAATTTGGATAAGTTTATGAAAAGAGAACAAAAGTATCCCTTAGAACAAACAATTGTTAAAGAACCCAAGGATACCGTCACCATATCATTATACACGTGGTTTATTTTAAACATAACCTCATCTTCGATACCTTTGCCCCAACCATTCATTAGGTTTCTGCAACTTCAACTTCCATCAATTTTGATTGATTTAATTTCAACTCTCATCGAATTTCTTTAATTTCCCATCAGTTAAGATCCCTTTTCAATTTTCCCTGCACTCCTTGCACTCCACCTCAATCATGTTTCCAGCCTTTGATAAGGAAATGGTCTTGGCCACATGTTTAGTTTTCCATACAAATCAATGTCGAAATGTCCAAATGTCCAGGGCGTAACCGATGGAACGATTATCTGACAAACTCATTAACTGGCGAATGGAATCAAATATGCAAAGACCAAACACATGACACACCACCCACCCGCAAGGGGCCAAAATTCATTTCATTTCAGCCCTGTTTCATAGCGGGATTCATGCTGTGGGCTGTGGGCTGTGGCGTATGTGCATCCCCCCATATGATCTGATCTGTGGACGGGGCATTAGACATAAGCAGACAGGTCCTGACGTGCATAATTTCCTGCCTCTCTCAATATTGAAAAAGGATATGGAAGTGCTGTCATATTACAAATAAAATGTAAGCTTCGAGTGCTGTCTGAGCGACCGAGCGACCGAGCGACGGACGGAGCCCTTGTCTCGACGATGTAATGCGTTTAGTCCCCCATCCGCATCCTCCTCGGAATCATAAACCACACGAAGGGGCAGGAGAGTGCCGGGATATGGCAGGATATTACTCTCGAAAGAGTAGGAGGGGCTGTGGGTGAAAAACAGTTTCTGATTTTCGGTGCGTTATAGATTTCGATTGTCGAAGACGTGGCAACAACAGTTTGAGTCTCCCTTTGGGTTTCAGTTGAGTGAAAGGTTTAATTTTCACAAAACATGCAATTGGGGGGAGGGAGGGTGTGCGTCCTCTATATAGAGCTCTCGTTCTCTTTCCCAGATCGAGTGTCGTCGTTGGTTCTTGAGTGAGTGGTTAAGTAGGCTTGTCGCTGGGATGTTTATGGATTGGCTAGGATTTCCATTCTTGTGCTTTTGACATCCATTGACAGTGACGTCTCGACACGTGTCGAGCGAGGCCTCTGCTCGTCTCCGCAGGGTCGCTGCCGGGGGGTGGATAGTAAAGTGAGAAGCGAAACCCGTCCTAAAGCTTCCACACTTAAGTGAGGAATTGTCTGTTTGCTGTCTTTAAGTTGATGTCGAGTGCGAATTTCATATTTCATTAGCCATCGAAGGGGGAGTCCTTAGATGGAGCTCGGATTCCTATAGAATTTCATTCCAATTTCCTCGGAATTTAAGGTATGATCTCGAGAATTAGTACCCAAGGAGGAATCCCTGGGGGAAAGGATAAGATTTCAATGGAATTTCATTTAGAATTGTGAGGAATTTTGATGGAAACTATTTGGCCATCCATCTTAAATTCTTGTACAAAAACTTAGAAACTATTCTATTATTGGATTATTCCGATTTTTACCTTTTCTATGCTCATCCCCGCACTCCCCAACTTCCTCCCACGCTTACAGACCATAGGCATGGGCTACAATAACAACAGGCCATAAGAAAAAGCAAACAACAACACCAAAAACACATTGCAAAAACAACGCTTCTGTTAGAAGTTCTTAGCAAGGGTGCTCTCTTACCTTAAGCAATGCGCTCTTTAACTTTTCGCCCCCGCTTTAGATAATTGCACAAACACAAATTTAAGAATAAGAATGAGGAGAGGATTACAGCCACACATCCTTCATCTCCCTCCCACCCTCAGAGAGAATAGACAATGACCCATGGACAAAAACAAGAACAAAGCTGCAAAAGCAAAGGCGCTCTTAGATCCTCTCAGCGAAGGTCCGCTCTTCCTTCGAGCACGGCGCTCTTTACTATTCTTAATCGCCTCAGGTCATTGCACTGGTTTCAGTTGTTGGCTCTTCAAATTACGTGCAAAAGGCTTTTTCTATGCGAAAGCAACAACAACAAGAGAATACGCATTGCAAATCACCCATGGCATCGAAGATAAAAGCGCTTTAAATTAATCTACCTTTTCTGTGCTGATGATCTCATCATTGCACTCTCTGCCATTACCCATCTTAAGCATAAGCAAACGCAACAACACACGCACATTGCAAAACCAAAGCTGCTCTCAAAATGCTCTCACCGATTTCAGTTCGTTCACCTACAAATGACCGAATGCTGCCGGTAGGGGGAAGAGAGAGCTAAGTCAAATTTAAGCTGCCAGCGCAAGTGCACGTTTTTTCGAGTCGCGGAGTAAGAAGTCTTTTAAAATAGTGGTAAATGTTCGGAAAATTATACAAAATAGCCCGTGTGATAAGTGCAGTTAATTAATGTGTGTTTAAATGAAAAATCAGCCCGAAAAATAGTGAAAAGTGTTGTGAAAAGCCGGAAAAGTGATGAAAAATCGTCATGATGACGGTTGTGGAGAGCTTAAGGATTAGGAACAATTAAAACAGCAAGATCGCAACAAGTGTGAAAACTGCGCAGTACTACATTATGAAATGCATGGGATGATGTCACCTTTCAGCGTGAGTTTTTTTTTTCTTTTCTTCCCGTGAGCACAAGCGCGTAGAGTAAAAGGTCTGGAAAAGAGATTAAAAGTGATAGAAACAGAAGGAAAGCCAAAGGAGTAGGAACAATTAAGAAAATATCGCCGCATGGCTGTAAAATGATAATTTCAATTTTTTTCTGTAGAAAAAGCTTGAGAAAAGTTTATTGCGTCGCAGTTGTATGTGAGTGGAAAGAAGGCAAAGAAAACGAAAAGGCACTAGCGGCAAGGAGTTAACGGCGATATGGGCTGATATTGAGCGAAAGTGCTGATCGCAAGATAAAATTGAGTGCAATTTATAGTGGAAGAGCAAAAGCAACTGCAGCATGGCATGATGTCACCTTTCAGCTAGAGTTTTTTTTTGTTTTTCATTTCGTGAGAGTAAGAGCGAGCCCAATTTTAGCTGCCAGCGCAAGTGCATTGAGTAAAAGGAATTGAAAAGTGGTAGAAACAGAAGGAAAATGAAATGATTGGAAAGCCAAATGACTAGGAACAATTAAGAAAATATCGCAGCATGGCTGTAAAATGTTAATTCCAATTTTTTTCTGTAGAAAAAAGCTCGAGAAAAGGCAGTGTCGCAGTTGTATTTGAATGGAAAGAAGGCAAAGAAAACGAAAAGGCACCAGCGGCAAGGAGTTAACGGCGATATGGGCTGATATTGAGCGAAAGTGCTGATCTTAATATAAAATTGAGTACCATTTATAGTGGAAGAGAAAGAGCAACTCCAGCATGGCATGATGTCACCTTTCAGCTAGAGTTTTTTTTTGCTTTTCTTTCCGGGAGAGTAACATCGAGCCCAAATTTAGCTGCCAGCGCAAGTGCATTGAGTAAAAGGAATTGAAAAGTAATAAAAGTGGTAGAAACAGAAGAAAAATTAAAGCTTTTGTGTGTATAGAGCCAAATGACTAGGAACAATTAAGAAAATATCGCAGCATGT